ACCCCGCTGCCACGGGAGGGTAGGACAAAAGATGTCATGCAAGTTGTTTTCCATAAGCACGTATGACTATATTCGGAATACATGCCTACATTACATTGATGAATTGGAGCTAGTTCTGTGTCACCCTAGGTTATGACTGTTACCTGATGAACCGCATCCGGCAAAATTCTCCATCAACGATCCATTACCTACGAGCTTTCCATATATTGTTCTTCGCTTATTTACTTTTGCTATCATCACTACAAAATACCAAAAACATTACTTTTGCTATCATTACCTTTTGCTACCGTTACCACTACTATCATATTACTTTGCTACTAAATAATTTGCTGCAGATATTAAGTTTCCAGGTGTGGTTGAATTGACAACTCAGCTGCTAATACTTGAGAATATTCTTTGGCTCCCCTTGTGTCGAATCAATAAATTTGGGTTTAATACTCTATCCTCGAAAACTATTGCGATTCCCTATACTTGTGGGTTATCACATCACCACCCCGAGAGGGCATCGTCACCATCCGTTTATCATCACCACCCTATCTCCATCTCTTTGTAATGCATTAGCGGTGTGGATTCACCTTTGTATTACTTTGATGCTATCGCCATGTTCATCATAATTCATCCGTGATGTTTGTACCCTCCATGTGCGAGTAGTTTCCCTAGTTCTCGGATATATGGAGGAACCTTACTATGTTCACGATTGAATAATAATAAGATTCACGAACCTCTTTGCATGTTTAAATTAGCAATCTTCTTTGATGCTATTGCCATGTTCATCATAATTCATCCGTGAAGGTTATTACTATTGGTGCGAAGGTGGGAAGCGGAGGTCGGTGGCGGCAGTGATTATCTCGCTCATTCCCGTATCATTGTAATAGGGGACAAACAGAGGCCGCCTTAGCTGTGTCCACGGGAAAACCTTGATTACCATTTGGTAACCGGAGAGGGGATGAATGGTAGTGGTGCTTGGGATACGGGGTTGTTGCATGTATCCATGTAGCTATACTTGGCTCCGTTCACTTGTAGAAACATATAAAGTGGCTTAGGAATCTGAATTAGAATTATGTTAGACACGTACCGCTGGGTAATCTAGACTTCATGGGAACGCTTTAGTCCTACTGGTTTCAACAACCGTTACTCACGTCTCGCGCTCATTTACTTTACGCTTGTCATTTATTTCCTTATTCACATCAATCATCCAAAAAAATAAACTTTCGTTTCTCTTTGCTATGGATCGCAACTAACCTGTCGGCACTATAATTTAAACCACTACAAAAAAGACTGATTCATGTGCTCCCTATGAGATCGATACTCTTACTTTGGAAAGGCTACAACTAAACCATCTGCACTTGCAGGCCATCACCGACTCAACTTCGTCCCCACTGAAAATCTCCGCTTGAAGCAAACCCTACCTCACTCTCTCACCCTCCGCTCCGGTGACCGCAAGGGCAAGGGACGGGCGAGCAAACCATGATTACCGATGCTCTGTCCGTCTCCCTTTAAGGATTTAGTTGTTTTAGTGGAAATTCGTGTCTGTTTGTTGGCGATCAGTTGCCTCTTTTTGTTCGATGAATTGTGAGATTATGTCCATTTGCACTATGAATCTATGCCTCTTTTGTCTCTATATTTCGTATGGTAATATCAACGTAGCTTCTTTCACATTGCATGGATAGCATGAATGTGCGGAGCATATGAAGTACACGGTTGCGGACGAGGGCATTTTTGGGTGACCGACAACTGTATAGACGGGACGGAATAGCTACGTCCAGCTGTAGATGCTCTATGTTATAGTCACGGTTTCAACTGCACATGATCCCCGCCCTGAAGAATAATCTTGCATGCGGGAGATAACCAAACGCTTTCCAGTTATTCAGTGACGCCCCATATGGTGCACCAGTCTGGGTGCTGCAGCCGCGTCGTGGCGGATGTCGCCGACTCGTCCAAGGACGAATCCATCATCGATCTGAAATCCACCGGCACCGTCAAGGTTCCCTGCTCCGACGAGGAAGACGGCGGCGCCTTGAGTCCCGTGAGCCAACTCATGTCCCATGTCCTACTCTACCTTGCCGACGACCGGACCAACACTCTGAGGGGCGCAGCTGGCTGCCGGACTCGAGCACGGTGGAGCTGGACGAGCTGATTGGTTTGTGTTGCATGTAATAGTACGAGTTTTGAGGTTTCTAAATTTAGGTATCCGGTTGTGGAACGGATTATTTGAGCACGGCGCAGCTGACGCGCGTTTCCGGGGTCGGATTTGCCAAGTCCAGCTATAGATGCTATAAGGACCTCTTTGAATCGTAGGATTTCCAAAACGCATGGATAGAATAAACGTAGGAATGGAGTTTCATGTCACCTTGAGTACTACAGGATTATAAGGGTATTTGACAGTGCACAGGAAAAGCAAAAAATTCTTTTGAAGAGGTTTGAGTGTATGAAAATTTTCATGTGTTATATAGTGAAATGAATTCTAAGAAAAAAGTTCCTGTAGTGTGGAATCATACAAATCAAACAACCTACATAGAAATTTTTTCTAAGGATTAAAATCCTCCAAACTTACTTTGAGAATCATTTGAACCAAAGAAGCCCCGACTGCGCCGAGGGGATTTATTCACTTCCTTGGTATTTTTTTTGTGCTGTAACTAGTAGTCCCTCCATCCAATAATATAAGAATGTTTTTGATACTACAACCGAACTGTTCATGGTCGTGTGGTGCTCTTTGGACTATACCAAGAGCGCCACACGACCAGCAACAGTTTGGTGGCCACACCAGCACCATAATCAGCAAACATGGCCACCAATCATCATCAAGACCGGTAAAACCTGAATATTCTCGCGTCAAAAACATCCATATGATCGGCCCACAAAAGGTGCTACGAAGGCATGACCCGTCAATAAACAGTCTTTGCCTTCGTCTCAACGCCTGCCCACCGTCCCGAAAACGTCAACCGAGGGAGGCGGTTGGAGCGACGGGGCTGTCACCGCTGCTCCGATCATAGCACTGCACAGCCATCCATCCGGCCAGTGGTGTACAGCATCTCCAAGAACTTCCATGGTCCCCATGGGTCGGCCGGCGACATGAGCCCCTTTCTCTAGCTACCGTGCATGGGCGCTTAAATTATTGGCGCAGCCGCGCGGGCACCAAATCCAGCTTAATTAGAAGGAACGTACTATACCACCACTGGACGGAATTCTTGTGCAGGGCACGGGCAACTCTGAAGGAGCTAGCATTCGCACAGCACAGCACAGCACAGCACAGCAAAGGGACTGACAGGTTGGAGGAAGGTACGGCGTACCATCGACTGTGTGGATGCTACGGGAGCGTAGGGCCGTGACCACCCAGCAGTTCCGTAGGCCAAGCATGGCCGTGGTTAAACGGGGCTAGCGTCCAGCCCAGTACATCTTTTTCGGAAGGTACGTTCTGCCCACCAGCAATCTTATCGGCACGCTTCACAGTTCCCTTTTATATTTTCTTCTGCTAACATGCCCCTAGCTCCTTACGTAAATTTCATATATATTTTTTATTGTTCTTATGTCAGTTAATCACCGAGTCGTGGATCAACGTCATGCTAGTAGTAGTAGTACGGAATGGTGTGCAGTGGCTAGTCCCATCCGGGGACAGCCGGGCAATTCCTTCTGAGTAATCGCGATCGCTGGGTTCGCAGCCACAGTGGCATACTATGCCGGTGGACAGAGACATCGACTAGATGCCAGAAGTACGTCGATCGAAAATCCAGTGTCAAACACGAGATGAAACACACACCCTGTCCGATGACGAACTCCTTTCGTGAAATAAAATTAAAACTCCTTGACAAGTCGCTAGTACTACTAGTAGATAGTAGATCCTCCCTGTTGGCCTCCATTTGTGCGTCCATTATGAAACGGGCCGAAAGCCGGGAGACGAGGACGGCACTCTAGCACTAGTGCCAATCTATAGAATAATTCAGCTCCGCCAGTATAGTAGTATATGATCAAATGGCGATGGTCTCGGAAAGGTCAGTGCAGCACAGCGCAGAGGCGTCGCCTCGCCGGCACTCACCGACGGCCGCCCCTCGTCGCTGTCTCTCAACATCACGCGGCGAAACCCTCCCCTGCCGCTCACCTTCCCGAAACCCTCGCGAGGACTTGGGAACCATTCCGCTGGGAGATCGCTGTGCCGTACGTAGCGCGTGCGCCGTCCGTCCGTCCGCCATTCGGAGTTTCGGCGCTGTCATGGCGTCATCTGCACGCCGACGCCATTAGTTTACTCTCCAGGCTCCACTTCCAGGGGTGCGAATTTAGCACATTCCCGTGTCCTATTAGCAGGAGGGTAACGGAGTATGGAAGAAGGTGGTGGTTAGTCGGGGCCAAATGGAACTGGGTTTTGCCCCGGCCTACGCACGCATGTAGATCCAGTGGCTACGGGACAGCTAGCTGCTTTAATTAACACAGGTAGGAGTAGTAGCAAGCAGCTCATCGGATGCAGATAGGCCCCGGGCCTCCACAGACATACCAAACGGTCCACCCGCTGGCACACCGCGCAGGCGGCAGGCCGGCCACGCCTCTGGCTAACGTCACAGTGAACCGTACTACCACTAGTACTACCAAGGTCCCTGTTGCCACCGTGAGCCCGTGACATGCTGCCATCGCCATGCGCCCAAATCCTATTCCATCCGTGCACCATAGAAGATTGCCTATAGTGCATACGATCTTGACACAGTTCACACAAACTTTGGGTGACGCTGTAATCCTGTGATGGAGCACACATGGAATTGAGACAGGCACACGTACGATCACTAGCAACTTACACTTCATTTTTTTGGAGGGAACACCAGTAGCAACTTACACTTAACCAGTCACAGTCATTAACAGGAAAGCACTTTCTGACGGTAATATAGCACCACGAAAGCGAAGCTCAAACCTAAACAAACTGCCGCTACAAACTTTACTTCGCCCTCGTTGGGGTCTCGGGGACATGCACACTGACCTGAACCCTGCTCTCAACAAAGCTCACATGGCGGCAGGGTTCAGTACTTGACGGGCATGCCGAGCCGGTCCAGCCTGCCGGAGCCGGGGTAGGCCTTGTTGGTGAACCTGGCGTGCAGGGACGCCGACGCCGACGACCTCTGCCCCGCCGCCGCCCCCGGCGCGAACGCGTGCGCCGACGCCTTCCGCAGGGACCCGGACTTATCGTACAGCGGCCGCTGCTTGGGCGCGCTCTGCGACCGCGCCTTGGCGCGGAACGACTCCGTGTTGGACATGTAGTTGGGGTAGTCGGAGTAGCCGCCGAAGAGGCTGCGCGCGCACTCGCTCTTGGTCGGCGTGAAGAAGGCGCCGCCCCGCTTCGAGCTCCCCGCCCGCGACGTCGCCGAGAAGAACTGCGGGCTCTCGTACAGCTCCGCCGCCAGGTCCGCCGGCAGCCGCAGCGGGCTCAGGGCCTCCGCCGCGCCCATGACCATGCCCACCGAGGACGGACTGGGCACGGACTGCTGCGCCGTGGTTGAGTCCCTGGACGGCGAGTCCGGCATCGTCGCGTAGCTCCGGCTGTTCTGCTCGGATGTCCTGGTCGAGCACGACGATTGGTGGTGGCCGCCGCCGCCGCTGCTTCGCCTCTTGGACGCGTGCCGGCCGGGCTTGCCGGGGTCCACCTCCAGAATCTTGGCGTTCTTCTCGTCGTCCATGTACCTCTCCTCCACCCACCGATCCAGCCAGTTCCTCCCGCAGGATTCTGACCTCTCCCTGCTCATCCTCTCGCCGCCCGGTGTCTTCGACGAGCCTCCCTGCATACACCGGCGCCATTGTCAGTCACCACGGCCACTGAAAACGCACAAACGCAGATACCGCAACAGAGAGAGCAAGGAAGGGATACCTTCAGTGAGCCGGAGCGGCCGTGCCTGAGCGAGCCCTCGTATGCCGCCTGCTCGTACTTCTCCGGCGTCGTCGCCCCCTGTAATGGAAACCCCAAAACCCATTAGAACGCGCCGAAGACATGGGAATTAATTGGCAAGAAATGGCGGGTGTTTGAAATTACCGGGTGCGCCGCGGCCTGGCGGGAGCGGGTGGCACGGCTGGCGCGCGCGCGGGACTGCACGCTGACGAGCGCCTGCATGCATCGGAGCGTCTCGGCCGCCTGCCGCCGGACGATGTTGCCGCGGACCAGCGCCTGCAGCTTCACCAGCCCGCGGAGCGCCTTCAGTGCCCGCCTCGCCTTCACACGCAACGACAAGCATGGAGAGGTTAATCAGCAGTGGTCCCGTCCGCAACATAGCCATGGGCATCTCTGCGTTGTAGGCCGGAGGTTGACATGCCAACCACCTCCGCCATTACTACTACCGCACTACCAGCAGCTTCCAAGAACAGTAACAGAGTAGCATTGTGCAAACGGCAAAAAAGAAGCGGCTCCCCTGTTCTTGAGAAGGGGATAGCGAAGTTAAAGCGGCGACGCCCAGCCCATGCCCTGCTTCCATAAAAGAAGCTCAGAGAGGAAGAAGAAGCAGTAAAAACATGGGAATGGCAGAGGCAGAGCAGCAGAAGAACCGTGGCTGCGACACCGCGGCGGCTCGCTTGCGCACACGGCCACACGGGCACGGGGACGGGGGTTTCTTTCCGGGAAGCGAAAATCCGGAAATTTTGTAGCAAAAATGTGAGCACTTTTTTCGCTTTACACCCGTAATTTTCAGAAACTTGGCCTACGGAAAGTGGATTTTGGAGTGTAAAGGAAAGGAGTTGGAGCGGAGATGACGGAGGGGAGGAGCTTACCAGGTAGCCACGGAAAGCGGCCTGGATCCGGACGGCCGCCCACTCCTCGTGCTTCGCCCCGGCCGGCGGGCACCGCCCGCTGCTGGTCAGCCGCACCACGGCGGCGGCCGCCTGCGCCGCGGCAACGGCGGCCTCGGCCACCGCCGCCGTCGCCGCCGCCACGGCGATAGCGCGCTTGTTCTGCTCGTCGCCGCCGTCATCCGACGCCGCGTAGGTGCGGCGGGGCGTCGCCGCCCGCTGCACCGGCGGCGTCGGCGGCCGCAACGGGTCCTTCTCCCGGAAGGACTTGCCGAAGCCCCAGCGCTTCTTCTCCCTCTCCGGCTTGTGCTCGCCGGCCTTCTTGCCGCCGCCAAGCAGCCCGCGGAGCCACCTTGAAGCCCACCCCATCGCCACCCTCCGGCTACTGCTGCTCCTCCTCCGCCGCCGCCGCCCCCATCGCCTTCTCTTGGTTCCAGCACTTGGCCGGAGCAGGGAGGGGGGAGAAAGAGCGGGAGACGAAACCCAAAACGGCGGGACGCGCACAGGCACAGGCTTGCCAGAGAAGAAAAGGCTGCAGGACGGAGACGAAGAGTCTAGGCGAAGACTGGTGTGGGGGAGCTCTGTCTTATAGATGAAGCAGAGCGGATGGGGCCCTTCTCTGTGAGGGGCTGGTTCTTATTCGGGGTTGCTTGTGCGAAGGCTTCCATGGTGAGATGGGATCAACTTGAGGGTGGTATGCGTAAAGTGGTGGACGTTTTGAGCGCCGGCTGCGTGACTGCTTCCTTGCTCAAGTGGCTGTAAAACTAGTATAAACCATGTGTGATGTGTGTTAGGTGTTTTCCTTTTTTGGAATCATGTTTTTGCTGTTTCGGTTTATGTCCTTCCTGACATCCTTTTTGAGCTACTCTCTCCGTCCCATAATGTAAAATGCCTTTTGACACTATACTAGTATGAAAAAACGTCTTACATTATAAGACGGAGGGAGTATTAATTTGTTTTCTGAAAACTCTGATTGCGGAGTACATAAATGTAAACAACTCTTGGACTAATATGTTTCGAACTTCTCGTAAAAATAAAAAGTAGAAAGTCTGATAAGTCTCAAACGGTATGAATTGAACCGTTGTCCCTAATAAAATAATAAAAGATTGCGTATAAATTGGTTTCATGGACGTAAAGGATCGCTCTCCTCTCTCGCTCTTCGCACCTTTTTTTCTTCCTCGTCGGCGGTGTTGTCGCCTATAGCAGGTCTGGAAGGCGTGCTCAAGTTGGCCATGTATATACATGGTCTCAATCTCGTCTAGAGGTTGCTGCTAGTGCACTTTGAGCTGCGCCCGATGGTTAGTGGTGTGCTATCTGTGTGGTTCTGTTGGTGAGGAGTTTGTTGCAAGCTGTAACGTCAAGGTAATGCGATTAGAGGGGTGAGGGAGTCCTGGATTAAGGGGTCCTCACGCTGCCGGCCTATCTTTTATGGACCGGACAGGTGGGCTGCTCGGTGACTACCACACGGCCGAGCTATGACGCAACTCCGTATCCGGACAGGAAACTAGCAAACCCTTGGTCTGTCCTCCAAGTCAAGATAAGAGAATCAACATGTTTATTCCATGTAACCGACCATGTGCAACCTAGTACCCCTAGTGTCTATATAGGGTTTTAGTCCGTAGAGGCTGGAAGAAGGACCATCATCCTACTCACCTAGGGTTTAGTTCCTCTGATCTCGTGGTAGATCGACTCTGTAATCATCATATACACTTCAATATAATCAAGCAGGACGTAGAGTTTTACCTCTTCGAGAGGGCCCGAACCCGGGTAAACATCGTCTCCTTCGTCCCTTGTTCCCCATTGATCTAAGATCCATAGTTCGGGACCCCCCTATCTGAGGTCTGCCGGTTTTGACACCGACATTGGTGCTTTCATTGAGAGTTCCGCTGTGAGATCGCAGAAGGATTGATGGCTCGCCTGATCGCCGGAGATGGCATCAACACCGAGGACATTTTTGTCCCTGGCCAGCTTTTCGCGTTTGGCAGCATTGTTCTCCACCTTAACTCGGCCGGTCATCTCGACCAGGGCGACAGCTTCACCCCTGAGCACCAGATCAGGTTCGGTAACCTTGAGTACGTCGCTGACACTCGGGGCAATATGGTCTTCACCGGCTTTATTGGGGTTCTAGGACCGGGGGTACCCAAACTCGTCTGCCTACGGCCCAACACATGGCTCCACCAATGGCCCGGCGCGGCCCAGCTCCTGGACTTCACAACGAAGGCCCTTGTGAGGGCCTCCGCCTCGCGAGGCGAACCACATCAAGACCTCCTAAGGAGCGGCCTCCCGAGGCTGCCTCCCGAGGGGCAGGCATATCTAGGCTCACGTACCACCTCGTGAGGCGCGCGATGACGTGAGCCATGACGACCGAAGCCAGAAGGGTGCCAGCAGGTATAGGCGAGGACAGTTTCCTCTTTGGTGCTAAGGAGGAAAGGACGTACACGGGTTCGCAAGGAATGCCCCAAAGAATTTCAGTGCAACAAGACCAAGACCACGAGCTCAGCAGGTCAGAGGTCATCACTGAGCCCACCAGCGCATCGTGCCTAGAAGCTTTGCACGCGAAGACCACCTTTAGTCAGGATAGGGTGTACCCCTGCCCCCCTTCAAAATTGGTGATACGCCTCCATCATATCTACTTTTCCAAACTCTTTTGCCCTTACTTTGGACTCTAATTTGCATGATCTGAATGAAACTAACCCGGATTGGCGATGTTTTTAGCAGAATTGCCATGGTGTTATTTTTGTGCAGAAATCAAAGTTCTCAGATTGACCTGAAAATTTACGGAGAATATTTCTGGAATATACAAAAAATACTAGCGGAAAAAGATACTAGAGGGGGCCACCCAGGGGCCACAAGCCCAGGAGGGCGCCTACCCCCTAGGGCATGTCTCCCAGGCTTGTGGGGATCCTGGGCCTCCGGCAACCCTAATTCCAACTCCATATATACCTATTAATTAACAAAGAGAGAAAGTCAGACAAAAGGATTCATTGCGTTTTACAATACGGAGCCGCCGCCACCTCCTGTTCTTCATCAGGAGGGCTGATCTGGAGTCCGTTCGGGGCTCCGGAGGGTGGAATCTGTCGCCATCGTCATCATCAACCTTCCTCCATCACCAATTTCATGATGCTCACCGTCGGGAGTGAGTAATTCCATCATAAGCTTGATGGACGGTGATGGGTTGGATGAGATTTATCATATAATTGAGTTAGTTTTGTTAGGGTTTGATCCCTAGTATCCACTATGTTTTGAGGTTGATGTTGCTATGACTTTGCTATGCTTAATGCTTGTCACTAGGGCCCGAGTGCCATGATTTCATATATGAACCTATTATGTTTTCATGAATATATGTGTGTTCTTGATCCTATCTTGCAAGTTGTAGACACCTATTATGAGTTATGATCCGCATACCCCAATGTGACAATAATTGGGAAACTTTCCGGTGATTACCGTAGTTTGAGGAGTTCATGTATTCACTAAGTGCTAATGCTTTGTTCTGGTTCTTTATTAAAATGATGTCTTAATATCCCTTAGTTTCCTTATGGACCCCGCTGCCACGGGAAGGTAGGACAAAAGATGTCATGCAAGTTATTTTCCCTAAGCACGTATGACTATATACGGAACACATGCCTACATTATATCGATGAATTGGAGCTAGTTCTATGTCACCTTAGGTTATAACTTCTACATGATGAATATTATCCAACACAATTATCCATCGCAAATCCAATGCCTACGAGCTTTTCACATATTGATCTTTGCCAAGTTACTCTCGTTGTGCTGCTGTTACAATCACTAGAAAACTGCTACTCTTACTATTGCCACTATTACCGTTGCTTCCATACTACTTTGCTACTAAAAACTTTGCTGCAGATATTAAGTCTTTCAGGTGTGGTTGAATTGACAACTCAACTGCTAATACTCGTGAATACTCTGTGGCTTACCTTGTGTCGAATCAACAAATTTGGGTTGAATACTCCATCCTCGAAAACTGTTGCGATCCTCTATACTTGTGGGTTATCAAGACCTTTTTCTGGCACCATTTCCCGGGAGCATAGCTCTATTTGCCGAGTCACTTGGGATTTATATCTGTTGATCACTATGAGGAATCTGAAAGATACCAGAACCAAGATTTTTTCCCTCTACGATGAGAGGAGGTAAGGAACAATCATCTAGCTCTGCACTTGATTCACCTTCTGTTTTAAGTAAGCTTGCGACACCTACACCTGCTATTAATTCTGATATGTCGCAAATAATTGATGATGCTACTTCTTCTATGAATGATGCTTATGATGACACTAGTACTCTGCTTGATAAGACTGTGCCACCGGGTGAATTTCTTGATGAACAACTTGCCGGGGTTAATAATATTGAGAATACTAAAACTGATGAAATTATTGAAAGTGGAAACTTTGAAACACCTATTAGACCTAGCACTCCTAGATATGAATTTCCTGATATACCCGAGGGTTATGTTATGGACGGAGAGGTAGCTTGGGGCTTTCTTGCTTGTAAGGATAGAGATGATCTTAAGAAATTGCTAGTCAAGTTGAAAGAAAAATAGATTGAGAGGCAAACAACCAAGAAACAAAAAATCACATAAATGAGCATTAAGCATAACTAACACCGAATAATGCACCATAAGTAGGATGTAATTTCATTGCATAACTATTGACTTTCATGCTTGCATGGGGAATCAGAAACCTTAAGACCAATATTCTTACTAAAGCATAATTACTCACCAACATGACTCACATATCACTATCATCATATATCAAAACTATTACAAAGAATCAAGTTTAATTTGTCCAATGATCTTCATGAAAGTTTTTATTATATCCCTCTTAAATATCTATCACTTTGGGACTAATTTCATATGTTGCTTTTTATAAGCTCAAACAAATTTAAGTGAAGAACATGAGCATAAAAAATTTCTTCTCTCAGAATAATATAAGTGAAGCATGAGAGAATTTCTTCAAAAAAATTACTAACTCTCAAATAAATCTAAGTGAAGCATGAGAGCATTTCTTCAAAAATATTAAAGCACACCATGCTCAAAAAGATATAAGTGAAGCACTTAGAGCAATTCCATAGCTCAAAAAATTTAAGTGAAGCACGTAGAGCAATTATATTAAATCATAGCATAATTTTGGCTATCTCAAATAGGTGTGTCCAGCAAGGATAAATGACACAAACTAAAAAAGAAAAACAAGTAAAGACTCATATAATATAAGATGCTCCAAGCAAAACTCATGATATGTGACGAATAAAAATATAGCTCCAAGTAAAATACCGATGGTCGTTAGAAGAAAGAGGGGATGCCTTCCGGGGCATCCCCAAGCTTAGTTGCTTGGTTATCCTTGAATAATAACTTG